ACCGCCAATTTTTTTCTCATCACAAGTTTTAATCCAAAACAATCTTTACTTTAAAAATTATGACACACGACGAGGTCCTAAAGAAACGCAAAACTGACAGATATTTGTAATGCAGAGAAGCTAAGCTGACAAGTTCTGGCACAATTTTGAGGCAAAATCAGGTTTAGGCCACCGTGGCGTAAAAATGCCATCATTTCTCGAAGAGGGCTGTGATGAAGTAAATTGCTCTTGAGATCTGTTGTGAAGTGTTTCATCGAAACCAGAATCTAAGCTGCATCCAGTGAAAGTCGTTGATACCGTACCCTGGGTGAAATCTGGAAGCAACTAAACAGATTTTAGTTTGAATGACGAAATTTACTCCCGCCTCTTCCTTCCACTGCATCCAGCTGCAGACTTTTGAAAACAAAAGTGAACTGCATGGATATGTGTGAGATGCATCATTGGATTCACACATAAAAGTTAAATCCCATAGGCAGCACATGTTGCTTGCCAAGCTGAGAAACGGTGGACGCACCACGCTATTGGGGGTGTGATATCTACGAGAAAGAAAGAATAGCCGTCTTCGACGAGATTAGCCGTTAAGGTTAAGGGATCTGACGCAGCTGACGTAGGCTTCCAACACCGATTGCTAGTGTAGTCTTGGTATTACTGACGTATGCACGCATGTAGTTTTAACCAGTACGAGCTCTGAGTGGAGCTCCAGTGCAGCTGAGGTGCATCTAAATGCAATATTTTAGTAAATGGCATACTTCCGCCATTTTCCTCCATTTGCTGCATCTGCCGCTGCCTCAGTGCCTGACTGCTGTACTGTTCGGCGTCTTGAGTGTAGATGTTCGGCGGAAGAAAGAATTCGTTGAACTCTCGCATTGCCCTGCTACTGATTTGCCGTTTGAGGCTTCCTATAGCTCGTCCCTGCAAAACCCAAAAGTTTAAGAAGAATCTATTAAAATTACGATAGTTTTTTTATCGTAAATGCTCAACAAGCTCAAATGTCAAAACCTTTCCCGTACTCAGTCTCTGCGAGAGGTTGAAATCATTTGCAAGTAACTCACGTAGTAAAAGTGCAACTAATCGCTCGCAAGTCATTGGCTTTTTCTTTTCAAAGGTTCTCAGGTGCAAGCTGACGGCGCATTTGCCAGTGCCAACTTACCACTGTTACGAATGAACATCGTTCATCGTCC